AGTAAATTCAGTTGCTCTGGTAGTCATAATACAGGGAATTCCCTAGTGTGAGGTCAGGCAATTGGGGAGCTTCTCTGGCACATTGTCAATATTATTAATGACTAATGTAGTGACATAAAATATGACTGTAGAAACTGCATGAAAATCTTCTTTACTTCTAGTGAAATGAGAACACGTTCCTGTGTAATTATGTTAAAATCCTTTGAGCATCAGACAACGCCATCAAATAAATCTCCTGTCACTGTTCATCCATCTTTAATCCAAACAACTTTTCAAGGCTGCGGTATGAACGGAATTTTATCAACCTATCGTTGTGGTAAATGACTTGCCACGGAAAACTTGGATTGAATTATTTCATAAATATAATCAACCGTAAATATTTAGCCATATGTATGTATGTAAATAACAAATTTTAACAAACAAAACAATTGTTAGTGTACAAATAGGCCCTAGTCCGTCTCGCTGGCCCAATGCGGGTTGTGGAATTCACACGTTTTCCGAGGGTTATGAACACAGAACAATAAATACAGTAGAAGTAGTTAGCGTCTGACGCGTGCCAAAGACCTATAGTTGACGCACCATTTTCGCTGTATGGTATGGTTGTGTCATTCTTTCATGCAAATTTTCTAAAATTCTAGAAAAATGCCTTATTGTGCAGTTTTGGAGTGCAAAAATGATGGTATTTCCCGTGGAGGTATTTCGTATGATCAGAAAGTCTAATTTTAATAAATTTTCAATTTTCTGTTTATCGAAATAATGTATTTGTTACAAGAAACGAAAGTAACGCTTATACTCCTGCAATATGGTCGCTTTTTGTTTGGAGAGTTAAATTAATAACTCCAATTCGTCGTCGTTCAGCAATGAACTGCTAGATGTCAGCACATTGATTGAAATTTCAATATAATATCAAAACGTCGTAACTTGTAATAATGGGTGTTGATGGTAGTGAACTTTCAACGATATGCCAACAAGATAAAGTTTAACTTATATTAACAATCCAGAACTTGTTATATCTTTTTAAATTTTAAACTACGTCCAATGAATTTCAAGATTTCGTAGTGTTTCAAATTAAGAATGTGTTAGTTTTGGCGACATCGGTTCTGATAGTAATCGAGTCTTAAGGCACTTCCATTGCTTTTTTCTTCCGTGTTTCTGAACCTTCTTCGACGTGCAGGTTTCATCACCATGTTTTTCTTCACCGAAAACCTCACGGTAAATTTCAAACTAAATTTCGCTCTTAGGGTCGTATTCCAGAACTCTACTCAATGCTCAAGTCAGGATCTGAGTATGATTTCAAGCACTGGAAATACGACCCTAATGGCAGGGACTTGAGTATGATTTCGAGTGCTTTAAACCACACTCAAATCCTGACTTGAGCATTGAGTAGAGTTCTAGAATACAACCCTTAAATTCCGAAAAACTCAAAAGTGCGAGTCCCGGTTCGAACCCACGGCCTCTACCTGAGAGGCGTCATGTCAAACCATTAGGCTACTAAGGTTTTTTTACTCAATAATTACCTACACAGATGGTAACTCGATTTAGATGATTTCTTTTTAAAAAAATCACACTTTTTAGTATAATTTTTTTAACTGAGACGATATGGGGAAATTTGGAACTATACCAGATACAGGTTAACTATGTCAGCTGACATAGTTTACCATTAGGACATAAAAATAATTATGTTATAATAAAATTTTTATTGAATTGATATTCAATTGTTTTTTGTGAAATTACTCCACTAGTTTATTATAATTATTAATACAAAGATCAAACACTCAGAAAAAATTCCTTCCGACCGGATCGAAGAAATTTTTTGTGAGTGTTCGATCTTTGTATTAATAATTATAACAAATTATGTTATAATTAAATTTATGTTCGACAAAAAATCTATATCATGAATTCACCCAGTTTCATACTACATTCGTATTCAATTATATTACATCGGGGAGAAAAAATCTGGACAGAAGTTAGTTGCTCTAACAAAAACGTTTTCATTTCACGATTAGATACAGCAATTATTAGGTTGTAACGTAAATTTTACTCGCAGTACTAGAACAACACTTCGATATTCGTTTACTGGATGTAATAGTTTTTTTAAATCAGTATTCACCACACATGCCTTTGCCAAATGCTAATAGAGGAGTGTGTGAGAGAGGAGCTCTGAAACATTATACCCGGCCATAAAAGTGGAGGCCACTTTGAACAATTAATTAAGCCATAGTCAGTAAGGTATCAATAGTATGAAAAATATTCTGTCAAATTTTAGTGGAGTTTTTAGTGAAAGAGTTCGTCCAGGGAAGTATGCACTGCCACCAAACCTATTTCTGCCGCTAAACAGTAATGTGGGCTACATGTTCCGGGTTTGAAGGGTAAGGGTGCTGGTGAAATTACAGGTACATGAGACTTGTTATCTTATGTGTATCTCAGAGTGACGGGCGCAACGGCAATGCCACAGACTCTGGTTCGAGTCCAGTCGGATCGAAGGAATTCTTATTCGTGTTTGTTCATAATAATAACAAACTAGTAGGGTATTCTGATAAAAAATATATGGATATCATGGAATTAAAAACATCGTGATATTCAATAAAATTAATATACTGAATTATAGAAAAATTTATTATAATTATGGAAAAAGCTATTAAATCCATATTTAGCTATTAAATTCGAGTGATACAACCGCCCTTTCAAAATTTTATCACAATAGCTAACATGGGGAACAAATAAATGAAAATCAATAAATTGATCTATATAAATTAGTGGAAAAAGGTGAGGAGAAAATTTTTAATACAGTTCAATAGAGGAGAGTAATTAGTAATACATAAATAATAACTAATATAATGTACAAACTAAACCTACAAAAACCCGACTATTTTGTTTCGTCGTTTGCGCGGCGATGATTAAACGATAAAGATAGCTATACACGCAATTTCATATCGCTATCCTTGTTCTTCAAAATGTATAACAGTAGTTCATTACCAAATAAACAAAAGAAGGAATGACTCTAGTGCGGTATTTTACCTATTAAATATTCGCAATTAAAAAAATTATAATGGCAACATAGCTTTATCAACTGAAATAAATACGTCACGAGAACGTTTATCACTAATTGCAAACGATACACTGCCATACTACGGCCACTTTACAGTTTGTATGTATCTGCTATGGTTTCAGATTATCCCATTCAGACCCATTAAAAATATAGACGACCTCGGTGGCCCAACGGTTTGCACTGTGGACACTGGATGTGAAGGTTTCGGGTTCGATAGGACCAATTTGGGAATTAACATTTCTAAATTGATTTAGTCTGGGTGTTTCGAGAAGTGCCCCAAAGTGAATTCCGTTGCCCTGGTACTCGTAGTACAGGAAATTCCCTTGTTTGACACCAGGCAATTGGTGTAACCACACAAGTCTGGCACATATAAAAAAAAACATTAAATAAAAACACTGCATAATATCCTCGGTGTTTTGTAGAAAGGGCGTAAGCCACATTTCGGAAAATTGTTTCAGAGGAGTATTTTTGGGTTTTCACCACAAGTCAATGGTTGTCACGACTGTTTTAGATCTATTCGCAAAACGTCTTACTCATAAAAAATATCCTGTTCGCCGAATCCCTTGTTCGATATAGGACAAATTCTGGATTCGACTGATTCTTGATTGGCCACATTCGCTATTCGACAGACTCAATGACCTATTGTAATGCTCTCATTACTGCTTGGCGGCAGAAATAATAATAAAACTTAAACTTAATTAAAACCAAAATTTAATTTAAAACAGTGCCTTAAAAAAATTTTCGAAATGTCGCTTACGACCTTTCCTCAAAACACCGATAATATGGGACGTTGTGTACAATATTATGCGTGTAGAAACATTTGTAAACGGATCGTTGGATTTTAATAAATAATGTACCAGTAGTTTAATGTGACACTGAACCAGAGTTTATCTATATGATTGCAATTCAAACTAGATGAAATTTAAATATAAACTATTTACTCATTTAATTTCGGCTTGAGCTTTGCATGAAAACCCTATGACTATAGATTTCCCTACAAAATGCAATGCATAACCGTACCTCAAGTTTTCTATAATAGATTATGTTATCTAATTAACACTATGTATTTTAGTAAGTAGGTAAGTGCCTACTAGTGTTGTATTTGTCCTGCAAATATGTCACACATTATAAAACTCATCACCGTGTCTACATAATTATCTTAGACATGTTAAATATTTGGTCCATAAGTTAAATTAATTTTTATTTACTAACATTTACCTTAGTCGAGACGCTGAAAATTTAGTCTACTAGACATTATATTTTATATTTTTTACAGATTAATAAATTATTTTTGAATTATTTTTCGTAAAAGTGCCTAAGATTTGCTCAATTTTTTGTAGATCAACACGTGTTGATAGTAAAAAAAACGACCAACTCTGTAGGCACCTTATTACGGACGCAGATTTCTCGCTCTATTAGATTTACCTGTAGTTTAGTTTAAAATATATCTTTATAATGAAATATATAAATAAATAAAAAGACCTTATTCTTCAACACTACAACGATACATAAAAAGCTTAAAATAGCGGCATAAAATAAATGGCTCTGTTGGAGAAAAGGTAACAGCTTCAGCAATTTGCTGGTTTTCAGGCTTCACCTTGTATATAATGTAGAACTACAAGTGAAGTATATTCATCGCTGTAGACACCGCAGTATGCAGTTTCTAATTAAATATATAATTAAGAAAGCACATCACTCATCATATGTTTCGAAAATTAAATACATTTAGAAGCAATTTCCTATCTTAATATAGAAAACATAAAAGTATTTTATAATTACTGGTTTTAAAGTAAGTCATAGTTCGACTTCATTATGACATCAACTTATAGTACCGAAATACCTACCCAATTATTTATGCACCCTAAGAAAGGTAAAACCAATTGGACTCATATAATTTAAAAGCTTTTCAAGGAGTTGTGACCCAGAATGAAAATGTTTGATTGCTTTGCAGTCCGCCGGATGAAGACACGGCGTCCCACGAAAGCGACTGCGATGAAGAAGAAGAGGACGACACGGACCACCTCAAGCCGAGAAGGCCATTTTGGGCGAACAAGATTCAGTTCGTGTTGGCCTGTGTGGGATACTCCGTCGGCCTAGGAAATGTTTGGCGATTCCCTTACTTATGCTATAAGAGTGGCGGAGGTGAGATATTTACTTTACCACTTCGAATATGTCTAAATAAATGTTTGCAAATCTAAAAAACTTTCTTAAACACAAGGGATAAGCACTTTTGTAACCTCAATAAGTATCGTAGATACAACTATGATAGGTACGTTCAACAAATCAATGCAATCAATGCATATGTCTAAGATTACAAATACACAGAGAATATGTATTATGTTCCAAGTCGTTATTTTATACACTTGACAAATTCACTTCGGATTTTTATTACACTTTCAATTTAATTAAAGATTTTGTAGTATTAAATTAGACATGTAAAAGATTAAGAATACGTTCCTACGTCATAAAGAAGTTTTGCGTCATCTCATTATAAACTGTGAACGACAAATCCATAAGGATTATTTTAAGAAAATTTGTACGTTAAATAAAACAAATACAGCTATAAATAGCTTTGGTTAACAAATCAACTAACGATAAAAACAGTGGCAAAACTAAAAAGAGCGCGCTACTTCGAAGAATAAAAAGTAGGCGCGTGTGAAATCACCATTAAGACATACATAGACTTCAAAGACACCGATAAGGAAGTAATAATACCTAAGTGTCGTATGGTACAAACAGGTGAGACACACCTTTACGTATCTATATCTTTATAAGCAAAGATATACCGGTATCTACTATGAAATAGAAACATGACTAACATAAGACTTCATTATGTTCAGTTTCTAGTAACCGATAATATTATTTTTGGACCGCTTGTTATCTCAGTATAGCAAATAAAGTTGAAAAATAAAATTAAATTGAAAAAAATAGTAGTTAGCTTCCACAGAAAAAAAAACCAGCGCCCATAGTTTACGGAGAATATAAATTGTTCTTCTTATTTGCAATTTTTTCTACTTTGAGTCACTAACTCACAAATGGTAGCACTTGTGTTATATCCTGAATTAACTTATAACTTCTACTAAGCAAAAACGAAAACACATTAATCAGGATTGTCAAGATGATGTGTGAGAACTTCGAAATCAAATAGTACAGAAAATTATAGGGTATGAAACTGGTCCAGATCACAAATACCATGACTTCGCACACATATTTATTCATACATATGTACGTATTTGTTAAAATTCTAAATTCTGTCGTAACTAATAAGATGTCGTCGCGGTCAGCGTGCACTCAATCATTACAGTGACAAAAGAATCGTGCTCGTAGTGACATTGGTCTTACAAATAGGATATGGGCAGAGCAATTCGCTATTTAGCACTTCATTAGAAATAATTACCAGGGCACGAAATGCTCCAGATGTTGTTGAAGTAAACAATTAAGATGTAGAAAACATAATAAGTCATATAAATAGAAGCAGATTTAGTACAAGAGAATCTTTTTTGTTTTTTTAAAGTTCTTTCAGTCAGGACTTTTTTTAAGAGCAAGTCGTTTTGCGAATAGATCCTATGTCGACCATTCCTCGGTTTAGAAGGGTAAAGGTACCGGTGAAATTGCAGGCAAGTGGGACTTGTGAACTTATGTCTCAGAGTGACGGGCGCAGTGGTAATGCCCCTCAAATCTTTGCGGTTAAAGCTCTGATTGGCACTGCATCTACTATGAACAAGCGCGTCGCTTACCAGCAGGCGTACGTGTTGTTCGTCCCGGCGCTTGGTATCATAAAAAGAAGTCCGGAATGGTATCACAAGCGTTCTGCTTAAAAGTCCAAGTAAACTTGGACCCAGTAATCTTGGAACCATTTTTCATGGTTTCATTTTTCATCTATGAGATCCCGGGTTGGATCCCCAGCCGGGTCAATGTAGAAAAACTTCTATACTGTCTCGGGTCTGGGTGTTTGTAGTACCGTCGTTGTTTCCGATTTCCATGACACAAGTGCCTTAGTTACTTACTTTGGGATGGAGCAACCTATGTGATGTTATCTAATATTTATTATTATTATATTTATTCTAAACATATTTATTTATAATCACTTTCGTTTAGTTTGAAAGGATCAACCAGAACAGACTCCAGCTCGTTTCATTTAAGTTCTCGCCCAGTTGTTGGTCACGGGTAGAGTAAGATCAAGAAAGCCGTTGGGCCAATATTGGTTGGAGATGCAACATCTTCAGAGAATTGATTAGAGCCTTTTCGTATAGGTCTATACCTACATAATTTTTTCTCCTTCTTAAGAGGATACGATACCTACCACGTAGTCTGCAAAATTAGGAGTAAAAATAAGTTTTGATTTGCTTTTAACTTGCGAAAAATTTTATATTTGTTAAGTAAAAACATCATTACTCTATTTATTCAGCACTACAACCAGTGACTAATTATGCGGACATTATTATAGGATAAAATATTTATTACGTACCATAAATTTATATTGTGTAGGTATTTCTAACTCGTATTTGTACTTAAAACTATATTGGTTTACATAAGTGATATTCCAACAGGCCTATTCTATAAATACTTTGCATAATGAGAGTTTGCGTTGCAACAATAAACATATTACCTATGTACTTTAATTTGCTCAAAAACCAACATGTGTAAATCGTAACTACGCTCATTAAAAATAAAGATTACTGATTAAGAAAAGTGAATAAGAAATATAATAGACGTCATTGGTGTAATCTACTACGTACTAGTATAACGTACTTGTTATCTAACTATAGATAGTATGCAATAAATGGCTGAAAATAATATATGTCTACAATACGATCGTGTGAAATCGTGCTCTTATCTGTTTGTGTCCCCGAGTGCTAACTGAATTGTCACCTAAGCTTCAATGTGAGAAGACAACATCAGCGCCGTTTCAAGCTGTACGGGCATAAATACGGGCCTTTGACCAAAACTTGGACTTGAGACCCTCTAACATTGAGTATTGTTTAAACCAAACGACATGAGAAATTACTAGAGCAAGGTTTGTTTTATTCATAGAGAAATATTATATAAATACAAAATGGTTTAGTATTCTGATAAAGCTGAACGATAAGTGGTCGCAGAATATAAATACAGTTTAGTAACAGCAAAACACCACGTGAAAGAGTTCATCGAAGGAAGTACTGCCACCTTACCTATTTCTGCCACCAAGCAGTAATGACGCAGTGGCAGTGCAATGGATAGCCGTGTCGCTTACCACCAGGCGCACGACTTATCCGTCTCATCGTTTGATATAATAAAAAAAAATTATAATGAGTCTTCTAGAGATGGCCATTAGAATGGTCGAAAATGTTATAGGACACCCACAAAACTAAATTTCGCTCACTGCTCGTCTCGTGTGAATCGACCAAAGTTCGAAAAACCGCTGCACACTAGATAACGTACACAATAATCCGTGGTTGAATTGTTAGTGTCGACCTACACGTTTATTATTGTTTATGCAAAAGACTACTCTTAAGTACTAATGTTTGTAACCGTGAAGAGAATGATTTTGATCGCGATGAATGCATAAGTGGTTTAATAACATCCACGGCGCGCACATAGGTATTACGAGCGCTTTTGCCATTGCTCTTAGGCGGAGCGAATGGCTTATATAATAACCCTTTTCTAGTGATGGACACCTCTCAAAATTTCAAAGAGCTGACGGACCCTTTCCTAAAAAGTGACGAAGAAGTAAGTCTCGCGGGTTACATTGACGCGCATCTCGCTCGCTTTAATAATGGGTGGCCGTCAAAGGGCGCGAAAATTCAAAAGGTCACGCGCATTGTACTTATATACTCACAACTTATTGAACCTATATTAATTTTTATATTTATGCATTCTGTTAGGTGGGCTTGCCATGGATTCCCCGCGTTCATTACACAGACCTCTTGGGGTTCAAGGATCACAGGTTAAGAGACCCTAAATAGATAAATAAATAGAGAGGACCCAACGCCTGGCTCAGATCTAAACTCAGCCGCATAAATAGAGACGGCACTGGACAAGACCAAGATACTGCAAAAAGATGTGAATTAACATGATGCCTTCTGTAAATTGACACTTCACAACAAACACAGGGCCGCTACAGATATCAAATGATTATTGGATACTCATACACTTGCCTTAGAATCTACTTATAGAATTTATCAAATGACACACACAAGTTATTCTATACCTAATAGACGAGATGTTAGGTGAACATATAACTAAATTATTACTTTTATGGTTTCTTTAAATTTTTTTTACTATCCTATTCACAGATTATTATGCGAACACTTATCAAAAATATATTTATAGATTTGTTAAAATAAATTCATAAAGAGTTAATCATCACTTTATCTGAAACATACTCGTAACGCCAGTAAAGACGGATAAGATGTATTACACATCGAACAAATATACAAATTAGGTATTAGGTATTTTCGGCATAATTTTTCGCATTTCCTTGAAGATAATCAAGTTACTTAACCGGATATGAGCAACAGGAGCTTAGAAACGTAAACAAAGACATACTCGTGCTTAAAATTGTTGAAAATGAAAGTACAATTTTTTACGCGTAACATTTCAGATGTACGTGCCTACACCTACATTGTATGTAAACTACAGTTCATTTTTATCTGTTAAATATAATTAGTACATTCGGTTTTGTGTTCGATCTTTGTATTAACAATTATAACAAACTAGTGGAGTATTTTCACAAAAAATAACTGAATATCATTTCAATAAAATAATAATTACGGTTAATAGCGACATCTCTAGCCAGAGCTAGCTGGGTAGCTCTAAAGGTATCTATCTAACTGGGTGACGAAATACTTTCATAGATGGCGTTACGGCTAAAAAGTCGTTGAAAACGAAATAATAAAGATCCGACAACAAGGTCATAGAAAAATTCATGAGGACCGCTGGTTCGCTCCGTGGCTTAGTTGGTATAGCGTCTGCCACGGTTTGCCAGGAGACGTCGCGTCGGTTCAAATCCGGCCGGATCGAAGGAATTTTTTCTAAGTGTTCGATCTTTGTATTAGTAATTATTAAAAAGTAGTTCACCAAAATCTTACAATAGTAAAATGGTTCCCTAAATTAAATACATTCGAAAACGAGTGTATTTGCCAATAATTAAAATTCTCTCAAGACGCCACGCCATATTATAACCTATGATACTCCCAGGTTTACATCGAATCTATGAACTTTTAAGCTGCATAACGTCACACACATACTCACCTAAATAAACACATTATGTAAACAAGTATACATGTACATGAATAACACATGCATGAAAAACCTTACTCTCCCTTGGCTTTGCAATAATCTCGTAAAAAGTACTGGCGTAGTTAACAAGAGTGTTCAAGTGACTAGAAACAATCGACAATTACATAAACTCCTAAATCATCGTTTGAGCGAATCACCAGGCTAATTACAGCGGATCCAGTGGGTTACTTCATTAAAATCAAGGTCGTTGCAATAACGGAATAAGTACCTACATCTGGTCGCTTACATGCACTTGTTTCAAACACGACATTGCATCAATGATGTACTTCGAACGGAAGATAAGGTAGCCATTGGTACCATATGATGCGTTGAGTCCACCAGGATCCCCTAATGTGTGTTGGCGAGTTGTGCCAATAAGTAGGTCTAATTATTTGTCACAATTTAAACAGAACACCGCACACTACTAAAGACAATATAGAGATTTCACTCAAGAGATAAATATGTATTTCAAAATCAAATGCACGTTAACCAACTTATCTGTTAAATAAAGATACAATTATCTGAAATATCTTTCAAATTTTTATTGATAGTTTTTCAAAGTTCACATTATTCTTATATTTTTACGTTATGTTAAATTTGAACATACATTATGCCTTCGTGTGTTTGAACATAAAGAAAGCGACATAGATTGATAACCGCATTAATGTCACAATTTTTGGTATAATGCATAATTTTTTTACATTGTCTAAAAGGAAAAGAAATCTTCTAGTATTTAATTCCAAATGAAAATCTCTACATTTTGTTGACCTGTCAAACTTAAACTATCCGAATGAGTGACTTTTGTGTAAAAACTTAGGCGATTATTACACTGCACCGCGCCCCGTCCGGGGACGCAAAATCTGAATTCGAGCGAGGTAGTATTGACTCTTAAATGAAGATTTATAAAAAACCCCGATACAACGCAGTGTATCCTTCTCCAAAAAGTCAATAAAGTCACTATCTGTAAACCAACAACACGTCGAGACCAATTTAATGAGCCTACGATAGTTTTACTGTAAATAGTTGAGGAATTAGGTAATCTGCAACTTCAGATCAAGGTTGCACTACTAATGTAATGTTACGGGATTTCCATAGTATATCAAATTTCATATCGATCGAACATGAGGAAGTAAAATAAACATTGGCTATCCCTACACTGAGAAAAGAGCAGATAATTTTTAAACAGCAACAGTGTTCATCACCCATAGCAAGCTAAGAATTCAATAATAAGTAGTCTTTCAAAAATAACTGCTTTGAGATCAGTCATCTGTTTAAAGGCGGCTTCTCACGGCGCGTGACCCATTCCGCGGCCCGCGGAACTTCAAAGACTCGCGGGTTAACTCACTTATTTTTATCATATCAAGTGACGGGACCAACAAGTCATGCGCCTAATGGCAAACTATACGCCTGTCCATAACAGTTGCAGTGCCACTCAGCTCTTTAAATCGCAAAGATCTGAGGCGCACTGCCACTGCGCCCGTCACCATGAGACATAAGTTGACAAGTTCCATGTGCCTGCTTTCACAGTGGTCACGCGCACTGGCGCCTGACTCGAGGCGGGCGCGGACGCATCTGTTTCCGACTTCGACGTGTGGATTTCCTCGCTCATGAAAGGGAAGATGCCAAGACTGGCGCGCTGCCGCGCCCGCGCCTGCATTCTGAATGAGCCCTAAGAGTTATGATGCCACAGACGGACATACAGACTAAAGCTTCAAACTTATAACTCCACTCTTTTTGTGCCGAGGGTTAAGAAAGAGCATATCAAGCTTAACACTTTGTACTTTGGACCGATCTTATCGTAAGCGGCATAGAGTTGGATTTAAGTCTTAAGTGTCAACCTTGACGCGCTCTTAACCCTGCACAACAAATATACAGGATAAGTTTATGATTACATCAACTTAAATTTCGTTTCTATTAAGAAGCAATAGGCAGTATGTAGTAATAAACAAGATTTATTTTCCTTAAGATATAATTTCCTTGACGAAAATGTTATATGTTCATGCCTTTTATTTTTTCAGGGGCGTTCCTGATACCTTACTTCATAATTCTCCTAGTATGTGGAGTGCCTATGTTGTTCATGGAACTGGCCGTGGGACAATATACGGCACACGGACCTATAGGTGCACTCTCCCAAATATGCCCACTTTTCAAAGGTAAGCAGTAACTAAATAAATAAGTACATTAAGCCTACTACTTACTGACTTAACATATACCGAAAGAGGCACTGCAACTGCTATGAACAGGCGTGACGCTTAACACCAGACGCACGGCTTATTCGTCCCATCACTTGGAATAAAAATAAAGTTTGAGGGTTTCTTATTAGACAGGCTGGTCACATTCTTTAGAACTAATCAGTTTAACAAAAGGATCCGACATGTCTGTCCGCGTTCAACCAGCAAATAGTACACATCTAGCCAGCATTAAAAAGGTCCCAACACACAGTCTCATGCCTCTTCTAATGACTACATAGCGTAAAAGCCATTTAATTAATCCTAATGTCACTGTATTATTCACGGTGATGAAATCATTCGTCACATACGGGTTGCCAAGCCACGTACGTAAGAATACGCACAACATGGAACGTTTACTGAAAGAAAAATCACGTGCCATTCACACTGCAACAGGCAAAACGTATATTCAACATTGTACCGTGGAACGGATAATAATTGATAACAATAACTAAAGAAAGACTGAGGGCTGCTAACTTCAATCAATATCTAAATATATATGTTTTGTTTTTATAACACCAAGGACGGGACGAACGACTCGTGCACTTGGTGGTAAGCGACACGTCTATCCATAACAGCTGCAGTGCCACTAAAAGCTTTAAATCACAAGGATCTTAGGGGCACTGCCACTACGCCCATTACCCTGAGACATAAGTTGACAAGTCCCATGTGCCTGTAATCTCACCAGCACCCTTACCTTTCCAAACCGGAACACAGTAATGCTCACATAACTGCTTGGCGGCACATATAGGTAAGGCGGCAGTACTGTCCTGGACGAACTCTTACACAAGGTGCTCTACTGCTAATATAGGGGCATGCAAATCTAAACGACGAGCATCAAACTAAACCAGGCACACACTTTTATCCGAGCGTATAATTGTGTAGTCAATAGCATGTTGGATTTTTCACTTGAGATTTAAATTCACGATGCCACTTACGATAAGAACGGTCCAAAGTGTAAAAAATAACCAGCGTCTGGATGATTATGCATATATAAAAGATAAATATTATTTAATAAAAATAACAATCGCACCTAGAAATCGTCTATATTTTTTTGAAACAAACATCACGCATTGAATAAATGACAGTGAACCTCGTGAATAATTGTAGTACCATTTGGTTAACAAAGTGTATTTTCACAGGTGCCGGTCTTGCAAGCGTGGTGATCTCGTTTCTAATGTCCACGTACTATGCCGCAATAATAGCCTGGGCGATATATTATTTTTTCACATCGTTCAAGTCTGAAGGATCGTGGGCAAGCTGCGCCAATCGTTGGAATACGCCCCAATGTTGGGTACCGAACCATAACAATACTAAACCCAATGGATCCCAGACGCCAACGGAACAATTCTTCGAGTAAGGTTTGATTTTTAACGCTTTTCGCTGGAATCCTATACGCTCTTGCTCTTATCTATGAAACAACCACCTTATGTTTGAAAACATATTCCACATTAACAATACTATCATCATCTAAGCACATGAAGTTATGCAACCGTCTAAGAATAAGTCAGTACAATATCACATATTATGTTTCTATAATAATTAGAACCTTTTACCACTTGGATATATTAAAAATAGCTCCTATTAATAAATAGTCGCAAGTACACGTATTGACTGTAATAAATCATTTCAACGATGAACGAAAGGGACAAACACACGGAATTTCGCAGGATATATGATATCATAATACTGTACAAAGGACAATACCCATTATTAGGCGGATTTTGTCACTTCCGTTTTGAATAATACACTACTAGCCACTGACCACTTCCGACAGAATCGTGGTTCTCTATTAATTCACAACATAATCCGATATACTTAGATACTATATTGTATATGACATAACAATATTGTCATATGTCATAAGAAGGTATATAATTTTTTAGGTAACATAACTTCGTTTTATAGAGCAAATCGTTTAGTGTAATCAACAGCTTCAACAGCACGATAAAAACTAATTATTATTCACAGAAACTGACATACTTGATTAATTTGCTGTTTTCTCTCTAATTACAGGAAAAAAGTACTAGCCATGAGTGATGGCATAGAATACCCAGGAGGCATGCGATGGGAGCTAGCAGCTTGCCTTGTCTGTGCTTGGGTGCTTGTATATTTCGCCCTTTGGAAAAGTATCAAGTCATCCGCCAAAGTCCGCTACATCACGACAACACTTCCATTTTTACTAATCATAGTGTTTCTTGGAAGATCTCTAACTTTAGAAGGAGCTGATAAAGGCTTGAGATTTTTTTTCAAACCTGAGTGGGAATTACTAAAGACTTCAAGACCTTGGGTGAATGCTGCATCCCAAATCTTCAACTCTATTGGCATAGCGTTCGGCTCCATGATAATGTTCGCTTCATACAATCGATTTGATAATAATTTCCTCCACGACACATTGGCCGTGTCACTGGTAAATGCAATCACTAGTCTAATCGTCGGAATATTTACCTTCGCCACAATAGGCAACATTGCTTTTGAACAAAACACGGCAGTGAAGGACGTCATTGCCGATAGTAAGTAACAAGTGCACTTAGCTAATGTTTAAAATATATATGCAACTTTTCATAACATTTCACAAATAATTTAAATTAACATTACTACATAAACCCTATGTCTTTTTTTCAGGTCCCGGTTTACTGTTCGTAGTATATCCCCAAGCAATTGCCAAAATGCCAGCCTCACAGTTTTGGGCTGTTTTATTCTTCTTTATGTTCCTCTGTCTCGGATTAAACAGTCAGGTAAGTAAGATTGGATGGGAACATTATACATTATCTACCAACACTGCGCGAAATGGAAGTAAAAATTTGACCAAAGTCGCTTTGTGTTCATAAGGAATGATGATTTCTGCGTTTTATTTTATCTACATAGGTATCAAGAAAATATTTGTTGCTTTTTTAGTAATTTGATACAGCTTCGCCCATTCTTGCATATTTGGTCCTAAAGTGATGAAAGTCTAAAAATCACTAATCATTCTGAAACTCTTTTCCAGTTTGCAATCGTGGAAGTTGTAGTGACATCAATACAAGACGGATTTCCGGATTTCATTCGCAAGCGTCTAGTGTACCACGAGCTGCTCGTCCTCTGCGTATGCGCAGTGTCACTGGTGTTTGGGCTGCCTCACATCATCCAGAGTGGAATATATTTCTTTCAGCTGATGGACTACTACGCAGCATCCTTAAGCATTACCTACCTTGCCTTCTTTGAGATGGTTGCCATCGCCTGGTTCTACGGTGTTGGTAGACTGTCAAAGAACATTAAACAGATGACAGGTGTGTACAACCGATCGTACGTATATTCAATATTAATTTCTACTATAAAACCCACCATTCAACGGCAGACTTGCAGACTTCCACACAGCTAATTATATAACTGTTGGCCTCATTTTTCTTTCCACACTATGTTATATTTTGTGGGCTAGTCCCTGAAATAGGCGTACCCAATTTATTTCATCTATTTATATTATCCACACCGACGACGACAAGTTCTAGCCTCGGACTAGTTGAAAACTCCGACGCAAAATTCCAGTCGTTGACACTTCAAAATGAAGATTATCATTACGTATAACATGAACTGCATTTTGATTATTGTTGTATATAAGTATAATTAACATAATATATACGAGAGTTGACACGCTGTTACAACAATAGCTACCGTTGCGCAACGACCTAAAGCCCTTTATTGTGATTATTCGAGGTTAAATTATGGGGACCTTACTAAACTCATAGTTAGAGGGCCACAAAGGTGATAATCTAGGTGTAAAAATCTTTTGTTTTAGCAGGTTTTTAGCAATTACAGGTATTCATATGTCGTTGGGAATTGTACGCATACATTTGTATTAAACGTTAAATCAACATGTTCCAGGTCGTTATCCATCGCTATATTTCCGGATATGCTGGCTGATAGCTGCACCGGCACTGCTGCTGGCACTCTGGATCGCCAGTCTAGTGGACTACCGGCCGCCAAGTTACCGCCAATACCAGTACCCAGCCTGGGCTCAAGCGCTGGGCTGGACCATTGCCTCTCTCTCTCTCCTCTGCATACCAGTGTATGCAGTCGTCGTGGTAATTAGATCTCCCGGAAAAAACTTAAAGGAGGTACGTATTTCTTATCTTAGACTTCTCTTGGACGTAAACGTTTTATCTGCTTCATTTATCAATCTTTCTGACAGACAAGCGTGTGATCTATCTGCTCTAACAATACTTAATGTTATCATGTAAGAACAAGAATACAATGTATTTTAAACCTGCAAGTGTTTCGCTTTTTGGTATATATAATAATTCGCTTATATTTTGCAGAAACTGCGACAATCAATACGTCCAACTTCAATATGCGAGTGCGGTATCAACGGTTGTGATATATGTTGTTCTGAGTCAGAACCTCCAGATGACAAGACAACCATCCACTAGTCTCTACATTTTAATTGTGCTAGATAGATATTAGTAATGAAATATGCTCATGCGCAAAGAACACAGACTTTATACTTAAATGATATCAATAATAAACAAGACAATAAGATAATAAATAACAGAAGATGATATTCTTATTATCATTAATTTACAATAAGGCAAAGGCCGCACTCGACCTAAAATCCATTTAGTCGAGAAGTGGTGACACAGTTTTAGAACTCAAGGTAGACCGGAGTCGATGTGTGCATCGGACAACTTCACACCGATCACTCATTGGTTAGATTAGGTACCAAAAGATAACGAGTTATATGGAATTCACGTGTTAATAAACAATGAGACATTTCATGCTACACTTACGTATGAAAATGTTATCTATCTATAATTCATACAGGTGTTTTGTACACCGAAATCTGTAAGTATCTACATTATTATAATTGAAAGATTTTACTTGATAAATGACTATAACAATCACGAAGAAGTAAACTGAAATACCTTTTTGTAGGTGTACTTATTGAATATTACGTATTTGATAACACCTAAAGTCATGTATCTACTTTGCTAAGGCCTATCTTAGAGGGAAGTATATTGTATGGTACAATTTATACGTATACATTATTTAACGCTTATAGATATCTATATTATAAACGACGAGTTCGAATACTATGTTATTATTAGTTAATTAAATTATTGAACATTCCCAAGGTGTTGTGAAGTTAAATTAGTAGCAAAATGTATTACCATTATATAAGAGAGAACAAACATCGCGAAAGACATCAATGTAACCCAGTTTTGGTTAAGTAAAAAGCCTCAAATTTGCAAAGATAAGATAATGAGAAACTGTCACTCCTTTACGAGTAAAAGCGTAAAAACAACACGGAAGGTTTTACCCACAACGGAAAACATGTGTGACACATTTTGACAATGCGATTTTGTGGATATTTGTCTGTCACCATTCTTCTCTCTAAAAGTATTGGACAGAAATTGATGGAATTTTAGTGAAGTAGTATTGAGTATCTTCGATGAGCCAGATCTTTTATATGTACATATATATGACGTATATGTATCCACTCCCCCACCGCACCTTCGTCAATAATAAACGAGCTTCTATTACGAACGGTCTTTAAGGCTCAATTTATATTGCGGCGGAACGGAATGCAAGCGAATTTTTGAAACGATATTGTACATAGCATAATGAACTTTAAGGTCAATTGTGTAACGAACAAACTAGACACGAGCCAAAATCATTCGCTGAATGCGCGAGCATACGACAGCATGCGAGACTATAGATTTCATTATGCTATGTACAATATCGTTACAAAACATATAGGTAGTTCGCGGAGAGACAGTATAAGACCGTTCGTAACAGAAGCTTGTTTATTACTGAGGAAGGTGCGATGGGGGAGCGCACACATATACGTCATTCATCATGCGCACTACAAAAAAAAACCATAAAATAAGAAACTACTCAATTGAACTGCCACATCGTCGTGGATTTTTTACCATTTTTCATGTACAAGTTTAAGTGTTTTAAAATACAAAGGTGGTAAAGCAAACACTGTATACTTTTTAAATACTCTCATAACATTTGTTCCAAGTTTACAAAGTATATTTGAAGGCGTAGTTACCATTGTTTAAATGTTTTAAGTGTAGTATTTGATGAGATTGCATATTTATAGCTATTGTAAATCCAAATCCAAACTTTGTGATCAAAGACATTCCAGTAAGATGTTTAGATGTAAGTGATATGTCGAATAAGTATTTATTTTTTAGTTTAGCTTACCATTCTGATATATTTAGAAAAAAAATCCTAATGAGGACTCCCAGGTGGAACACTCAAATGACCAAATGGTTGCTAAAACTACCAAGCTACAAGAAATCTAATCTAAACAATACATCAATAATATACAGAGACAACAAGGTTATGAATAGATAATGTAAATATTTACTTTGTAAATACTCTACTGGTAACAGTAGCAATATTAGAGTGATAAGAGATAAATAAATAAGTATCGAAATATATTTGTATTTTATTATTAATACAACAAACAATATATAGCTACATTATTGTAGTACAACAACACATCAGACAGAAAGTTCACCGCGAATAAATATCGAGAACAAATATTACACCATTTAGACATGTGCGCCGATAATGGTTGTGTTAAACAATATTTCAGTATTTCTTTTAAACGCCAAATACATGTTACCTATTTCTGCCGCCTAGCAGTAATGTCAGCATTACTGCATTCCGGTTTTGAAGGGTAAGACTGCTGCTGAAATTACAAGCACATGGGACTTGTCAACTTGTCTCAGGGTGACGATGACGGGCGCATGGGCAGTGCCCCTCAGATCTTTGCGATTTACAGCTCTGACTGGCACTGCAACTGTTATGGACAGGCGTGTAGCTTACTATCAGACGCGACTTGTTCGTCCCGTCATTTGATATTATAATACAAACATATTATGTATGCATAATTGTGTAATCACAATGAAGTTTTTAACCTTAATATACACATATACATGTTAACACGATTGTTTAAGTTATGATTAGCTATACCTCAGCTAACAGCTAGTAGCAGAGGCTACAGACATTCTTTAGCTGCCTCCACTAGCATCGGTATTCTCACACACACTTGTATTCTTGTGTCTATTGACAGGTCTATTGATAGGTATTTATCAAAAAAATCAATCTGGTTGAGATATTTCACTTAGCAAACAACACTGTTCCAGTCTAAAATCAAATGTGAATATCAATGAAAATGATACAAACAATAGACATATATATACATTTTATCTTTAAACATAGGTGCCCCTATTACTAAGAATAGCTTAAAAAATCGTATAAACAGCAATAAATACAGTTTTTATTCTCCCTTAAAATTATTAAAAATGACTTGAGCAGTATTGCAGCAACAATGTTGACCTTTGGTAATTTTTCCACCCATATAATAAATATGCTATTTTTTGTGCTTTTGTTCTACAAAGATTATTAAAGTAACTCATAAGAACAAAGTGTCACAGCAGTCCATTGTCTATTTAAAACTGATAAATAAGTGAAACTCCATTTGTATGTAGTAATCATAATAATTGTGTCTGGTGAATTGCTATACTACAGTGTATTACTTGTAAAATCTCATACCTAAAACTAGATAGTTATTTATTTTTTCTGTTTTTTCGGACTGATTGGTATATTGTCTTCGTCATCATCATCATCTTCACTCTGTTCTTCATGTTCTATTTCCATGATGTTATCTAGAAATAAATTTAATTTTTAATACTATGAAAGATAGTGTCATGTGTCGAAATTCAATCGTATTCAACAATGGCGTACAAGGTGTAACATAGTAAAAGGTTCACACCATTAATAGCATCCACACATTGACCTACCAAGAAATGGACGTCGGGTCTAATACAAAAACCAGGAAAAAATGTCCGAAGTTAACCTATACATACATAGTGACATGTAACGAAATATAAAAAATATTAAAACATTTAATTTAAATTGTAACGTCATTGCAGTGCTGCGTAATTTTGCTTGCAACAATGTAAAGGGCCCAAAAACACCATATTCAGCTTCTACTGGAAACTTAACAAAATGCGCCATATTTAGCTTCGACTGAAAATTACTTGAACGCAAGAGTAATGGCCTTTATTGTACATATGAATAAATTTTTATGTATATTATTACATCAAATTTTGTACAAATTCCCTTCAAGAAATAATAAAGAGTTGGGCAGATACATACACACAAATATTACAAATGTGAAAATAAGCGTGTACTATAAGAAATGTACCGATATTCCAACTAAATGTAAACTCAAATATCCGTAATTCCGAAAACCGATTTATAATAAAATCGTTACACTTTGAAGTAATTTTGGTGTTTCACACAAAGCCAAAATTAGCTTTTGTTTTGTACTATTGCTAAAAAAAATACATTTGACGTTATGAAAATTCGAACTAGCATTATTTCGGGCACATGTATTTTCCAACTTCTGATAGGTAATCCCAAGCCGTAAAATAAGTACAACAATATTTTGTTAGTTATTGCTAACGTTTAATAAAAAGTAATTTTAAAAATAAGATTAAAATCAACACGTCTTCTCAGTTTCTTTGCTCCAAATATTTCAATCGCCTATTGTTCAAACAATTGAAAATGACCAAGAAATTGTATAAGCTTCTTGATATTGACGTAATGGGTCTCTTTCCATCTTTTGCGCATGCAATGTGTAGAAGAAGGACAGTTAGCTATTTGATTATTTTGTTTGCTTTTGTAATTTATATTTATGATTAATTTATACGTAAATTAAATGATACTATCTATCTGTACAAAATAACACTTCTAAATGATAACTATGATAACACAATATATTTGTTTAGTGAAAATACGATACAAAATTCTGCTTTAACACTTGATTGACAACGGCGCTGTCGGTCGAACAAACAAAGACTGTTGCGCGATTGACACTCTGTATGCGATTTTAACGCCCTTTAAGTGCGGACACTTTTTAGCGCGAACCCGAGGTCCATTTTTTAGTAGATCAATGCATCCATAGCTGCAATGTGATTTAATAATAAAATATCTTGCATACAAGATTCGAAAATGCACCACCTATGTATAAGTTCATTTCCAAATTGTATCAATCGTGAAAACCTAATGAATGAAATATTAAATTATGTTTTCTCGTCACAAACAGGCTTAGGAGTAGCATATAGAATATAACTAAATTGGGCACGCTGGTTTATGTGAGACTGGTGCCCAAGACAAGTTTAGGAAAACCTGTATTACTAGTCACCAGAACCCATCATAGATACCTAAGAACTTATCATAGATTTTTTTAGCTATAAGCGTACGAAAAGTATAGGTTATTAATTTATTTAAAAATATTGATCGATTTACAGGTTATTTGTAATTTAATAAACACACTTACTTGAATCTGCATGATTTCCAATTAATTTTGTGAGAGCAGCATTAGCAAATTTTTGGAACTCTTCTAAAGATTGAATTAAATCGGATTGCCGCGTGCCGGTTTCTTTAATAACAGTCTCGACTACTTTACCATTGTCGTATATCACTAATTTAAATTCAGAGGGCATTTTCGTAACGATCTATTTAAAATCCGCAACCAACTAAATTAAACTCGACGCATGGTTCGAAGTAATTCCCATTTTTTTAATTCTTTCCGCTATGGAAAAGGTAAATGGTATAAACATACAAAAGTAAACAAACTTACGTCAAAATGTACTTTTATTGCACATTTTTCAGTTACTTTATGAAATAGAACAGCTAGCTGTTTCCACATCAAATCATTGGTAGTGTTGGTTACCTTTTCTGATTTATGTTTTGTCATTAAAAAAGCTATTTAAGTACGATCATCGAATTAAATATATATTTTTTTTTTAATTTATTAAGGCTTTGGCAAAGCCATCAGCCTTAACATGAAGTTTAATTATGTTTATGTAAATATGGCCGCCACAAAGAGGATAGGCAATTTGAGGCGGCGGCGTGCCTGGATTGACTCGGGGTTTTTTAAAACGGGCCGATACGTGTATTTTAGTTCGAGATTCGTATAATTTCGCGTTTTAATCTTCGATTAAGGCACAATAGCACTATC